ATTGCAACCTTAAACTTGCTTCCCTAGGTCAGTCGTAGAGGCCCACTTTATTTATCTATTTTGAGGACATTTGTTTCCTTTTTCCTGTTTTTTCTATAATAAACTTTCTCAACAAAAATCTCACTCAATCTGTGTCCTTCATGCAAAGAGGTTGGTACCATCAACATCTTCCTACTTTAAATATGTTATTTACATTTTGATAGGGAAGGACTTTTAAAATCATTTTTCTAGACCCATTTTACTTCCTTATTGTCTTGGGACTCTGTTCGTTCTATTTACTTAAATTAAGTTGTTGTAAATAGATTCTATTTCGAAATTTTTTTAGATAGCACCAGTTTCCCCTGCTTTCTACATCAATCCACATTTCTTTAAAGGATGAAGTATAAGAGTGACCCACTCAAAGCATTATTGCTTCCTCCCATATTGGAAGAGTCCCTGTGTGAACTTATGAGTCTCATTACTTGAAATGGCAAGTAATTTATTGTGCTATTGACACAACAAAGTCAAGGGAGAGTCTTCCTTGACTTTGAGTCCTGACAGTGGAAAACTTTCATCATCAAATCGGTGTTAAAACCTAGAGGATTATGCCTGTAGCCTAACAAACTCAGATTTATTGCCTTACAGGAAGAGATGTCACTCCTAGGCAAGAGGGAGGAAGGAGGTGTCTTTTGTAAATTGAACTTCTATTGAAGAATTTTGAAGAGCATCTAAGGGAAGCAGGAATCCATTTTGGATTGGTTGTTTGAGGTGGGACTAGGAAAAGAGAGATTTAACTAGGATTGGATGCTGTCATGAGGGTATGATGGCTGAGCAATTGGACATCTCTAGCAATAAATGAAAATAGCCAGCAGTCTGGGGCATCATTGGTAAGAAGTCAGCAATCACCCAAAGAGGGTGTTATTATGGCATTTTATAACTGCTGTATGACTTTGGCAGAAAGTGTTTCCTGTCAATTTTGCAGCTGGCTTTATCTGTGTCTGTCCTCCCTGTCTGATTAGTGGCAGGGCTTCTTTTCTCTTTTCAGTCCAAATTGATTCTCACTCTTTTAATCCAAAACAGATTTTAACTCTTTCAGCATCCCGGACTCGTAACTCATCAGAACATTCACTGGGATACATTTCCCTACTAGCACTTAACCAAGTGTAAAAATCTCAGGTTCATTATGATTTAATAGAAACTTCTAGAGCCAACATCAAACAATCCAAAGTTGAGGCCTCTAAAGCAATGTGGCCTCACTAAGAGGTTCCAATGTAGAATATTTACAATCTTTCCAGATGCCCTGCTACTCTACCTTTTGATAATGCCACTGTCCTCACTAATATAGTCTTTTCCAGCTTGGAGCGGGTCATCACCTTTCACTAAAAGTCTAAGGGCTCTTCACTGGGAATAGCATTGTTTTTGAGGCTCACCATACTTGGAATCTGTTCTACCTTTCTGGCCCTCTCTCTTTCCATATATCCTACCTTTGAGCCACACCAGAGGGATTCCTGCACTTTCATTTCTCTATGTTTTTGCTCATACTTTCCTTCCTCCTGAAATTTCTTTCCCTCCTTTCTGTCAATCAAAATCCTGTTCTCACTTGCCTTATACAAGAACCATTCTCTAAGAAGCCATCCTTGAACCATCCCGTTGAAACTAGTAGTTTCTTTATTAGCACTTCCATAGAACATTGCTTGTAACTCTGTTTAGCATTGCTACTGTTTTTCTCTCTTAAGCACACAGTGTTTTTTTTCTTTTAGTTTTCCTTGATATTTGGGGAAAAATGTTTATTTAACCCACTCTCTACATCCTAGGGATATTTCTTAGCCTGAAGTTCCTGGTGTCACTGTGATCCTTGGAAAACATAGGAAGATGGGGCAACTTGTGAAACTTCATATATATAAATATGTATGTTCATATATATATATACATACATATATATATTTGTGTGTGTGTACTTTGCTGCAGTCCACAATTGTGTGTGCGCACTTTGTTGCAGTCCACAGCTTTCATCAGATGCTTAAAGAGATGTGTAACCCCAAAGAGGTTAAGGACAACTTTTAGAATATTAGATTGTTGTGGCACAGGCACTCTGCCACTCAAACAGATGGGAGAGACAACTATAGGCAACCAAGAAATCATGAATGTGCATCAAATGTGGGTGCTTAAGGCATGGTACCCAGCTGGGCAGGTGGAGGATGCCATCCATCCAAAGCTGCCAAGGGCTATTAGCCAGTACTGATTAAACTCTGGACTGCACTGACTTTTGGAAATTGCACTAAAATCCAGATCCTCCCTAGTCACAGCACAGAAGCATAGAAGTTGGCTGTGTTTACCTTCATAAATGCCCTGACTGTGCCTTTGTTAGAAGCTTGGTTGGCAGTGGCAGCAATGCTACATGTCCTTTTCTACTTTTTCTACTTCCAGATAAATATTTGATTAATAATCACATTCAGTTTGTCACAGGCCCTATGAAGTAGATTAGAATTCTGGATGGAAAAAATGTGGTATGATCTATACTGTCTTTTCATAATATACCCAGTAAATAGAAAATCTCTTCAAAAGATTACCTGATGCCACATCTCCTTCACTCCCTTATTGTTACCCAGGTGTCTGAATATATGGGTTGCAATACAATATAACCAACACTTAGCATGAATGATAGAATTAGATGACTTGATCTTCAGTGTAAGGGATAGGCAGGCCTTTGATTATACTTCTGAAATGCCCAGGCTAAAAAGTTTCATGTTTTCAAGGATGTTTTCTCCTGTCTCTTCTATCCTTCTATTCCCTTCCTTGAAAATTCTCTGTGGAGTTGATTTGGCTGATAAAAGACAGGTTAACTTATTTTAAAAAGGGATTGAAAAATCCATACACCTCCAATTGTCATGTGCATTCATGGACCTGGCAACTAATTCTTATTTTGGCAGTTTTGAGATCACTTGTCACAAATTAGTCCCTCTCAAAGGGCTATCTGAAGAGAAAGAAAAATAATATGCAACTCAAGTAGCTGGATTTGGGTGGGGAGGGCAGATTCCACATTTAATATGCAATCGGGTAGGTGGATTCACGTGGGGGATTCCACATTTCCTCTTCCTTCAGAGTGATTCTTTATATGTAATATTTCCTTCTTTTCAAACAAAGTTACAAAACTTCTACATCAAATGATTTATGAAAAATAAAGGTAATTCTACCAAAAGCAATTGTAACTAGTGTTTCAACCTAGCTATGCATAAATGGGGGAGTGTATTTGTTAACCTGAGAGGCAATAAAACCTGTTTATAGGTAAATCAATTCCTACCACTGGGTTCTTTTGGGGATATTTAGTAATATGGGTCAGTAATTCTAAAACTTGAGTGTGTATTAGGATCACCTAAAAGGCTTGTTAGATCACGGATTGCTGGGCTACACCTAAACAGTTTCTACTACAGTAGATCTGGGGCGGGACCCGAGAATATGGATTTCTCATAAGTTGCCAGGTGATGCTGATGCTGCTGGTCTAGGGATCCCACTTTAATAACCACTAACCAAACTCTTTAAGGTTACAAGGTGTTTGTAATTAGTTGAGAAACCAGCCATAACATGTTTAAAAATCTCTAGCAATACAAGGTAATATAAGGTCCCAAACAAGCAACGATATGTGCTATCTGAGCACAGAGGTGAGAGAACTCTGGGTTGGCAAGATTTCCACTCTCAAATCTGGAGAGGGGTAAGATCATCAGAGAGCAGGGCAAACTGGTTGGAGCAAAGACTAGCCTAGCAATCCATGATCTAACAAGCCTTTTAGGTGATCCTAATATACACTCAAGTTTTAGAATTACTGACCCATATTACTAAATATCCCCAAAAGAACCCAGTGGTAGGAATTGATTTACCTATAAACAGGTTTTATTGCCTTTCAGGTTAACAAATACACTCCCCCATTTATGTGTAGCTAGGTTGAAAGACTAGTTACAATTGCTTTTGGTATAATTACCTTTATTTTTCATAAATCATTTGATGTAGTAGAAGTTTTGTAACTTTGTTTGAAAAAAAGGAAATATTACATATAAAGGTAGGGATGTGCCTGTGGAGGACTTTTAATCACATCTTATAAGGAGTACAGATTTTATACAACAGGTAATATTTCTTCCATCAACACACTGCCTGCTCCTGTGGCACGTGGGCACAAAGATCTAGCTCCACATTACTGCAAACGGTTTAACCTTCCTCAAACACTGCTCAGCTGGGGTGAGGTGCGAAAGTTAGTAGATCTCTGGTGGTGAAGATATCAGGTTAGACTGCGAGGTAGATTGCTTGCATCGCTGAGTCCAAAAGTTGACGGCTTTTGCAGGGATGGGCAACTTTTGGAGGTCTCTCAAAATATAAGAAAAGATTGTTTGGGTATGAATTTAGGTTGAGGACAGGAACAGGAAAAATCCTGGGCTGTCTGAGCAACTCCATAGAGGGTCTGAAGTGGACGAGACCGTCCACTACAGTGCAGGGCTTTCCATCTTTAAGGTGCACCCCTAGGAGTCGCCTGGTGACCTTGCTGAAGTGCAGCTACTGATTCCGCAGGCCTGAGACTGTGCATTTCTAAGATTGTGAGTTCCCAGAGGATGCTGATGCTGCAGACCGCGCTTTGAAGCAAGGTACCATGGGACATCCAGAACGCCAGCGGGGAGAGAGGCCTGCTGGCTACATTCCCTGAAGCAAGGATACTTGCAGTCTTTTCAGCTAAGGCCCCCATCCTGCCTCTCGGGAGAGGGGAGCAGTGAGGATATGGGGACAAAGAGAAGGACGGCTCGAACAGCGCTGGGGAGGGGCAGAGGCGCCCTTGCATGCCAGATGCGAGCGCTCAGGCCAGTGCGGTCAGACGGGGCCCACGGCTAGGGGCCGCGGCGCGATTGCAGGAGTTTCGGCCCTCAGCGGCTGCCATCGCGGCTCCGGGTAGCGAAGGGAGACGGCGACGGCAGCAGACGGTCCCTCCTCACGCGGGTGCGCGGGCATGCGGACACCCACTCGGCCGGTCCAGGCGCTAAGGCTCCCGGAAGCGGAAGGGGCGCGCGGCCCGGCCTGGGCGGCGGCGCCGGAGGAGGCGGAGGTGGCGCCGCAGGAGGAGGGGAAAGAGCTGCTGGCGGTCGCGAGAGCGGCGGCGGCGAGAGGCGAGCCAGCGGCTACGGTGAGTGTGCGGGCGCGGGGGCGAAGCGGCCGCCCCCACCCGCAGCCCCCGCTCCGCTCCGCCCCGCCCCCGCTCCGCCGGGCCAGCCCGCCGCTCCTCGGTGCCGGGCCGTCCTCACCTGTCCCTGCACACACCCCACACCTGCCCTGCTTGGAATCCGTCTCGCTGCCTCCCCACCCCGGGCCTGGCCTTTCTCAGAGCGTCTTCTGCTAGAGCTGGAGCCACCTGCTAAGTGCCCCTCCCTCAACTGGGGGTGGGGAGCTCCTGCTCGAGTCGAGACGAGAAGATGTTGGCTAGTTATGATTTAAAAAAAAAAATCTGTATCCTGAATGACTCGCCTGTAAACTACAGTTTGTCTCTCCGCACCCCCGCCTGGAGACCAGCACTGGGATCCCGGGTTCTCTGTCCTATTCCAGAGCTTTTCATTCATTCCAGACCTCTGGTGTGAAGCTGCAGACTAGCAGGAGGACAGTTTGCTCCTTTATTGACCTTCTCACTCCTCTCCTCTCGATTCAAAGAGGTTTACAGGAAAATGTCTTATGGATGATAGCAGTTTGCACTTGTTATTATTCACTATAATAGGTCGCTGGATTTTAACTGCAGAGACCATTTAAGTTATGGTCTTTTTCAAGCTCTATGTGGGTCACATTTTAAGATCCCTTGAGAGTCAGGCAGGATGTCAGTATCACCAGGGCTGAGAGGACATTACCAGTTATTACTTTGAAATACTGTAATATAGCAGTCCCTAAAAGTACAAGAGAAAAAAAAATCAAGGTCATTGTGGGCAGGTTATAAATTGTAATGTAAAGTTACAGTCTAAAATAAAGGCGACTAAAGATAATTAAGTGCAAGTTAAAAAGATGTGTTAAATAGATCCTCAGCCTACTATGCTAATATATGCACTTTAAAAATTTCACTGCTTTCCTTGTGGTAAAAATAATAACACCATTTGATGACTGTTTAGTATGCGCTATTCCTGGATTAGAAAGCTTTTGGTGTAATATTAAGTTTCTTCCAGCTCGTCAGATTTTACTTATTTTAAAGATACAATTCTAAGAGATGCTCTATTTTTCCTTAGTTGTGCCATCTCTTAAAAAGGCAAAAAGATATTTGAAGAATTGAGGTGAGAAATCAATTGGAAAGAAAGAGCCAAATGAGATTTGGTGTTGTGGAAGGAAAAACTAGATTCTAGTCCCATTTCTGTCACTATACAGTTGTGTGGTCGTGGGTAGGGCAGTGACCCATGTTATTTTCTCTGTACCATCAGGGAGTCAGACTAAATCCTTTAAGGCTTATTTTAGCTTTTCCATGCTTACTTGTCAAATATTCTGTTTCTGAATAATACACGACCCTTTAACGTGTTGAAGGTACGTTAAAAACATTTATGAAGTATTTGTAAAATTATATCAAAGTATAAATTAAGACTGGGCACGGTGGCTTACGCCTGTAATCCCAGCACTTTGGGAGGCTGAGGCGGGCAAATCTCGAGGTCAGGAGATCGAGATCATCCTGGCCAACATGGTGAACCTCATCTCTACTAAAAATACAAAAATTAGCTGGGCCTGATGGCGCGCGCCTGTAGTCCCAGCTACTTGGGAGGCGGAGGCAGGAGAATCATTTGAACCCGGGAGGTGGAGGTTGCAGTGAGCTGAGATCGCGCCACCTCACTCCAGCCTGGCGACAGAGCGAGACTGTCTCAAAAAAAAAAAAAAAAATTATATATATATATATATATATATGTTAAAATGTATAATTCCATAATTGTTTTGGTGTGGTACTGTTCTAGAATTCATCATTTTCGATGGAAACAGTTATATTAGATCCTTTCACACTGTTGAGATTTCTGTTAGCATACTTGAGAAGCTGTAGTTTGAATAGAGCATCATTTAAAGAAAATGAGGACTGTGTCACTTTTGCCTATGAGGTGCTTTGTTTAATAAGAGAAATCTAAGCATTTAAAAATGCATACACGTAATCATCAGCTTAACAGGTAGTTCTGAGACAAGAATTAATTAATGAATCATAACATTTTTACTTGTTTGCCTACTGCCTCATGTCTTTAATTCGTAATGACCGATTCAGAACTTGTGGAAAAGCGCATGAATAAAACAATGCCGTGGTTTAGTGAAGAAACTGCTTGAGAAGTTTAGTAATGTCTCCATGGAGCTTTTTTTTTTCTGGAATTGTAATTGAATGTGAGTCAATGAAAACTTTTTTCAGCATAGAAGGCAACACAGTGGCACTATCAGTACTACCCAGCAAAATAGGAAAGGCAGAGAAGAGGCTGTTTTAATTGCCAAGAGGTTGTTCCCTAAATGCAGTTTTACTTTTATATTAAGGAATGTAACATTTTATGTTGTTTTAGTAAAACATTAGGGCTCAGATTCAACTTTTCAGATGTACTAGGTACAGTAGGCAATTTAGCATCTAGTAGAATGAGTGCTTAAATAACTTAGTAAAGTGAAAAATTTAGGTGAAATTGCAGAATTGAAAAACAGTTGTTTTTATTGTTGAAATAGTGATTTAAGAATTCTTGATAAATGGAATCAGACTAGTTTAAAAAGCATATTTTCATAGGTATGTGAATCATTGCTGTGGTCATTGATAGCTCCCTCCCTGAACAAAAATACCTTAGTATGATGGTAGTTTTTTTATTTGTTTCACTTTTTAGATCTATCCTGGGCAAAGTTGTGACATTTTGAAGTTTGCCTTCTGCCTTTAAGGCCTCTTTTTCCTCTGTGCTATTTTCGCTTACTGTAGATTAACCTTCTTCCCCATTTCAGAGACTCTCTTTACCTATCTGTTGCACGTTCTACAAAAGGGCAGGTTGGGTTAAATTGGTATTTTTCCATTCACTGATGAATTTCATTTTAATTCTAATGTAAAATGCTGAAGTGTGCTGTCACCAAGGCTTCTGATTTTAAGCCTTTTATCTGTAATTACAGAATGAAGAACTTTTTCACTTACTGCAGGATTTTCAGCTTCAGCAAGCAGGTGAGGAGAGAGTTTTCTTGTGGTCTTAGTGTTCTTAAATCATGTCTGTTTTGGTAAAGCCTGGTGTGAAGGAAATCTAATTTAGTATACTATTCCACCCTCTCCCCCCACCAATCTCTCTTGGTGCAGTGGGTACTAGAAGGTAAGTAGCAGGCTTCCCTTCCTTCTGGGAAGAACTTACTCGATTTTTTCATATCCAGGAAAAACCTGGGCATCTTCATTTCTGGCTTTACTGTATCTGAAGGTTTTCCCTTGTGCTGATTTTGGAACAAAAGTTACCTGTTGCTGCCTGTCCCTATCCTACTTTTAATTTTGCCCTTTTAGTCCCTTTTCCAACTCCTACTTCCCTGAATGAAAATTCCCGCAGAGACATTGTGTACTGACTGAAACAGTATTTGGTGGTCTTTAATTCGTATGGTCCCACACCTCCCAAGTTATTTCTACTTTTTCTTAGAAGATTCTGATGACGTGAGCTCAAGACAGGGAGAATGGAAACTGAGGTGGCAGTGAGCTGTGATTGCAGCACTGTACTCCGGCCTGGACAACATAGTAAGACCCTGTCTCAGACAAACACACACAGAACAAAACAGTGCCCCAGTTATCTACTTTCTCTTAAGTTAAAACAAGTTAATGCAAGTAGGGAAAAATAAATGTAAATGCCTGTATTCGCAGTACTAGTAGTATTAGTACTGCTAATGTAGGATAGTTTTAACAGTATTACTAATAATACTGCAGTGTAGTACTACTAATACAGACATATACATTTAATTTTCACTCATGAGAATGGTACACACAAAAACAAATTTATGAGAAGAGCAACAGCTTATGCTCAGTTTTGCCCACAATGTAATTTAAAGACTTAGTCTACAGAGTGGATTCTTGAAACCATTGATGGTGCATATATGTTATGCTTTGACATTTTGTCCACCCACATTTTTACACAGTCTTCCTGAAAAACTCAGCAATTGAATTTTCTGCTTGCATTACACATTCTTCATTAGCTTCTGAAATCAAGTACTGATTTTCTTTCACACTTTTTTCCTTTGCTCACCAATCCTGCTTTTAGTTGAAAGTGATTTGGTTTAGGGGCTTTAGTTCAGTCATTCTATTTTAGATCAAGTCTCTATTTTTGGTTTTCCGCTTAATGTAGCCCCCCAGCCAAGATTTAGAAATAACAGCTTCCCTATGGTAGTATGATACTAGCTGTAGGACTATAATAGTTGACTTTTTTTTAAAACTAATTCTCAGATTTTAACTTTAGAAAAGTAGATAACTGGGTCATTTTTTGTTGTTCTTGTGTTTTTTTGTTTGTTTGTTTGAGATAGGGTCTCACTCTGTTGCCCAGGCTAGAGTGTAGTGCAATCACAGTTCACTGCAGCCTTGGTCTCCATCTCTCTGGCTTAAGTGATCCTCCTACCTCAGGCTCCCAAGTAGCTGGGACTACAGGCATGTATCACTACACCCGACTGGTTTTCTGTTTGTTTGTTTTGTTTTGTTTTGAGATGATCTTGCTCTGTTGCCCAGGCTGGAGTGCAGTGGTGCAATCTCAGCTCACTGCAAACTCTGCCTCCCGGCTTCAAATGATTCTTTTGTCTCAGCCTCTGGAGTAGCTAGGATTACAGGTGCCCACAATCATGCCTGGCTAATTTTTGTATTTTTAGTAGAAATGGGGTTTCACCATGTTGGCCAGGTTGGTCTCAAACTCCTGATCCTCCCGCCTCAGCCTCTCACAGTGCTGGGATTACAGCATGAGCCACTGCACCCAGCCCCTGTTAGTTTGTTTTGTAACTAGAGACTAGGTCTGACTATGTTGTCCAGGCTGATTTGGATTTCCTTAGCTCAAGCAATCCTACCCTCACTCAACCCCCCGAAGTGTTATGATTAGAGGCATGAGTAGGCCCTGGGGTATTGGTAAATTGTACCATTACTTTAAATGATTGGGATCCAGAGACATTGTTTCATTCCGGAGTTTGTAAAACCAGAAGTAAAACTTATCTTTCACTTTCCCTTCCTCTCTTCTCTCCTTGACTTCCCTGTAAAGTTAGCATTTTGGAGGTGCTACTTTGCCAGGCAATTTCTCATTTAAGTGTGACAGCAACTGTGCAAGTTGACATTTTTATCTCCATTTTACAGATGGTCAAACTGAAGCTTGAAAAGAAACATAAGCTTGGAAAGTGAATAAGAGTCTGCATCATAATTTGCACATTATTCTCTTTTAACATCTGTAGAAGATTATTTTTTTAATATGTTGATAATGAATATGTGATATTTAAAAAATTGAGTTCCTAATTGGTAATGAGAACCTGATTTTTATGAAGAATTACTTAACTGCCACACTTGACCAGTTTTCAAAGTAGAATGATATCAGAAGTCAAAAACTTTTATAAATATGTTTAAAGGTATACAGTTGTAACTGCTTTCTAAATTCATTTTTAGCTGTAATTAATAAGTTTGAAATTTTATATATTCATCTAATAAGCATTTCCTCTCGACACTGTGGAAAAAAAATATTTGGTGTGTTTGAAAGCTTAGCTTGTAAATTATTGATTGTGTTCTTTCAGGCATAGCAATATTAAAAATATTTAAAGACATTTTATAGTTCTGAAACTTTGGAATTGTTTGGTTATTCAAATTTTTTGAATGTTTAGGCCCAGCATTACCTTTTTATTTTGTTTTTGAGACCGGGCCTTGCTCTGGCACCCAGGCTGGAGTTCAGTAGTGCAATGATGTCTGCTTATTGTAGCTTCCGCCTTCTGGGTTCAAGCTTCAAGCAATTCTTGTGCCTCAGCCTCGTGAGTAGCTGGGATTACAGGCAGGTGCCACTTTTGTATTTTTGGTACAGACAGGATTTTACCACATTGGCCAGGCTGGTCTCAAATTCCTGACCTCAGATGATCTGCGCACCTTGGCCTCCCAAAGTGCTGGGATTACAGGTGTGAGCCACCGTTCCTGGCCCAGCATTACTTTTGTTACCACATAAATGAGATTTGATTTCTCAGTGGTGATGGTGGTAGTGGTGGTGGAGGTGGTGTTGATCTAAATACTAATCTCATTTCAAAGCTGTGTCTGCAGTGTAGTTCTGATAACTCTAAATGTAATGTATTTTTTTTTTTTTTTTTTTAGATTTTAAGCCAGTGAGTAAATGGATTTGACTCATGGGTGATTGGCCTGTGCTGTTACCTACTAACGTTACTGACAGAAATTACTGTTTTGCTGAAAAAATTATGAAGCCACTCTCGAGTCATAGACTTAGCAGCATTATTGGTTTTTGGCCGTGTTTCAAAACGTTTTGTTGTACCACATTTAATTCTGTTTGAATTTTTTTTCTGAAAGAATTCATTTATTTTCCCTTGGGGTAGCACTCTTTAACTTTGTTTTTATTTTTTTTTACTTTTTTGAGATGGAGTCTTACCCTGTTGCTGAAGCTGGAGTGCAGTGGTGCAGTCTCTGCTCACTACAACCTCTGCCTCTTGGGTTCAAGTGATTCTTGTGCCTTAATCTCCCAAGTATCTGTGATTACAGGCATACCTCACCATGCCCAGCTTATTTTTGTATTTTTGAGGAGACAGGGTTTTGCCATGTTTGCCAGGCTGGTCTTGAATTCCTGACCTCAAGTAGTCCTCCTTCCTCGGTCTCCCAAAGTGCTGGGATTACAGGCATGAGTCATTGCACCTGCCTTTAACTTTGTAATTCTGTGTTTAGTCTCTAAGAAGCAAAGGTGCAGCCAAGGAGCCCACTTTAAATTAACTTAAAAAGTTAGAGTGGAAATAAAGTTCATTTGACAATCTTAACAATTGTGGACCGTAGAAAAGGTGACCCTGGGAGGAAATACAGGTTCCCTGCACCCTGCAAATGTATAAAGGAAACAGAAATGTAATGGTAATAATTTTGATGTATTTTTTACATCCTTAGTATGTAATAGTTTGCTGTTGCTGTGGTAACCAGCACACTTAACATACTTGTATCTCGTCCTTTGTTTTCTGTCTTAGAGAATGGTTTCACCCTTCACCCAGACCCTAAGTGTAAAACTTGGGAGCATAGAGTCTGCCCTTTGCTCCCAATTGATCACTAAGTCCTATCAGTTTTACTTAAGTTCTCCTAGATCTGCCCTTTTTCAGTGTGCCTCCTGTCTCAAGTGTTGCTACCCCACCCACTTAAACACACACACACACACACCCCATTCCCCTTATAAGTTACCATTTTAGGGGTGCTTACCCCATGTGTCCTCGTCATTTCTCACCAGTGTAACAGTCAGCCTACCTAGTTGCATGTAGTCAGTCTTAGTGCTTTATCAATCTGCCCAAATCCAGCCCTTAGATTGTGTCTGTTCTTTCTAAAATACAAATTTGATCATGGCATTTTACTGCCTAAAATCCCTCAGTGGTTTTCCACTGTGTTCAAGGTGAAATCCAAACTCATTGGCATGGTTTAACAGTATTTTTCAATCAGAGGATCTACCTATGGGTCATGAAATCAATTTAGTAGGCTGTCACCAGCATTATACATTTTTATTAAAGTAAAATAAACAGGTTGCAGTGGTACTCAACTGTAGTGCTAGCTACCCAGAAGGCTGAGGCTTGAGCCCAATGTGCTTTGCTCACACCTGGGAATAACCACTGCACTCCAGCCTGGGCAACATAGTGAGACCCAATCTAAAAAAAAAAAAAGTAAAATAAAATAGCAATATCAGTGTGTGTCATATGTAGTAAGGGTAAATATCACTTCGTTAAACTTTTTTAGTTATTTATATATATCTGTGTTTACTACTAATGTTATAAAATTTATTACTTAAGAGTTGGTTGTAGTCAAAAGGATGAATATCTGACCCTTTCTATATGCAGTGGTTCTTGTTATTTCAATTTACTTCAATTTTCTCTGCCTGCTTTTATGCCTTTGCTTATTCTGTTCTCTTGGTCAGAAGAGCCTCCAGTCTTCATCTAGCTAACTCACAGGCTTTATTGTCTTCAGGAATCTTTTCTGATGGCTATTTACTGTAAGAAATACATTTTGTATTCCATGAACCAATATCCCTATCGTATGAGATACAGTCTTTCCACCTTGCCCTCTGTCTTGTCTTACTGGTCTTGTCTGTTTGCTAGTTAGTCTCCACTGAAGATGGAGCCTCTCTTTTTCATCTATATCCTGTGTCAAAGCGTAGTATGTATAGTAGTTAAGAAGTGTTGATTGAATTAATAAAATAATGAGTCAGTATATGTTATATACAACACTTTACAGTATTATTTTTTAAAGCTTGAATTGTAGAAACTGACTTTTATGTTTGACTTTCTTAATGGTTTCATTATAGGAGGATTACTTTCTTAAAACATTTTAAATTAAAACTTCCGCATTAAGCTGTTTATCTTTGTTTCTGAATTGTGATTAGATATTTCTAGCAGAATCTGTTGTTATTTTGTGATTTGTGGTCAGTGAAGTGTGTGATGAAGCCCAGATACTGGACATATGATGATTATTTGATTTTATGGGAAGTGGGTGAATTTAAGAGAGACTGTCATATGTAATGGTAATCAGATGCATATTCTGAGGAGATGGATGGGATATGAAGGCACAGAATCAAATGGAGTTGAATTATTTTTTCTTATTTCTAAATTTAAGATGTTTGTAATTGGCATTTTCACAATTAGAATATTTAGTTGCTTATAATTTGTAATCTTTGTGAGAAATCATTATTTGTTAAACCATTAATAGGTTCTCATGGAGACCTGTTACTGAAGAGAGATCCATTTGGTGGGATATAGTTTAAAAAAGGAATGAATCAAGAGAAAATCTCTAAATGCAGGTACCAGAATTACAGCACATCTCAGTGAATTTGCAAGTGGTAAGTTTGCTTTTGATTTTACATGGTAATATAGTTTTGAATTATGTGCCATCATATCCTTGGAGTCCTATGCTTAGAAGCACTTAATTGTCAGTTAGCAAATGTAGTCACTTTATGTTTATTTAAAAGTTTTCATACTAAATTTTTACTAACCCTGTTTTCTTAAATAAGACTTTTTCCATAGAGAAAAATTATCTTTAAGTAATATGAGTTTTGTAAACATCTTTCCGAATCTTAAGTCTTATATGGCTTTACAGCGAGTCCTTCTGCACTTCATTTTTAAAAACAAGAATTTAAAAGCATTTACTATAAGGATAATTTATAGTGACAGACAGGTCTAAATTAAACATTTTGTTTGTAAGTTTAGTGTCTCTTAGGCTGTCTTTATTTTTCAGTTAATTGAAAAGAATTTAGAAGTACATGGTTGTTGATAAATTTACAAGATCACACAAATATTTGAAAGCCTTCCTTCTCGCTACTCCTTTCTCCCTCAGCCCACTGATAACAATTTGGCTGATCTACTTTCTTGTAGCCTTTTTTCTGCACTTTTGCAGAAATTACCTATGCATATACATTGCATATTTTTCTAACAAAAATGTAATATAACCTATTTTATAACTTGCTTCCCCCAATACTTCATTTTGAAAAATTTCAAACAGAAATATTCAAAGAATTTGATTATGTAACATCTGAGTACCTGCCACTTAAATTTTACCAAATTTCAGCACATACTCATCTATCTTTCTGTCTGTGTTGTTATTAATTTTGGGGATTCATTTCAAAGTAAATTGCAGACATCAGTATACTTCCCCTCTACATACTTCAGTATACATACTGCTAACTAGAGTTCAATATTGGTTTACAGTTACTTAAAGGTAAATTTACATACCATGACATCCAACAATCTTAAGTATACATTTGCTGAGTTTTGACAAATTCATAGACCTTTGTAACTCAGACTCTATTATCAGTAGAAACATATTTATTAGCACCACAGAGTGTTCCCTCATGCCTCTTTCTAGTCTTCCCTATCCCTGTCTCTCTCCAGAAACACTGGTTAAGATCTATTCCCTGTCCACGGCTAATGGATTTTGCCTACATCACTTGCTTTATTCACTCAACAGTATGTTGTGGGTAATTATATACAGATCTAAATCTGCCTTCTTTTCTGCCTTAAAAAAAATTGCAATAGCTTGGAAATAGTCTGCACTATCGGTACATTAGAATTTGTTTGATCATTCCCTTTTCTCTACATGGACATTTGGATTGTGCCATATTTTTGATTATAGAAAGTGCTGTATCCTTGTACATCCTTGTATGTATTTATACAGTCTCAGGAGTACTTTTATAGGTAATACTTAAAATAAAACTGCTGGGTAAAAGGGTTTTACGTTTTGATACATAATGCCAAATTGCTCTCCCAAGATGTTTGTGTCAGTTTCTATGCTCACCAGTAACATATGAGAGTGTCCTTTTTGCTGTGCACTCTCAATATTGGATATCATCTTCCTAAGTTTTTCAATACAATAATAAAAAATGTCCCTTGTTATTTAACATTTCTTAATCAGTAATGATTAGCCATTGGAATTTTTTTCCCTTTGTGAATTGGTTTTTTATATATTTATATTATATGCCTCTTGCTGGTCATGTGTTATAGTATTTTTTCCAGGAATGCTTTGTCTTTTAACTTTGCTTTTCATGTATTTTGGGCTTCAGATGTGTTAATTTTTATATGGACAGACATGGCCGATGGGTCTTCATTGTGAAGACCTTCTTATTCCAAGAATATAAAACCACTTGCTATTCTAATAGTTTTCCTTTTAATGAATTTAGAAGAAAAAGACAAATCATTGTGAACTGAGATGCCAGGAAAAATTTCAAATGGAGAATGAGATTCAAATTGGCCTTGAAGTCTGAGTCAGATTTAGATGGAGTAAGCAGAATGGTAGGGACATTTCAGACAGGAGGAATGAGTGATGGAATATGGTTGAACAGTAACGAGACCACTTGGGCTGAGGTGAAGAGTCATATAAAACTGTAAGTGTAGACATACATGTTTGGATGGATTTCTTGGTAATCATTTGGCTAATTGTTATGATTTTCTAAAATCTACATCTTGATGTTATAGTTTTCTGTCCAATAATAGTTTTCTGTCATTTTCACGTTGACTTGAATATTCTTCTTGAGGAGAATGTGTGGTGAAATACAGTTGCCTGAAAAGGCAAAAAATAGTGGTATTCCATTGGAATAAATTGAACATCATAAGTATTTACTGAGTCTAGTTTATTAGAGTTAAATTATATTTGTTTTTAAATATAATTTAATGTGGTAATTTACATCATTTAGTCACTGTAGTCAACTATAGTTACCAGATGGCAATCTTAAAAAATGTTGAAGTACCAGTATATCCACTAGTTACTTAATCAGAGTTTTGAGTTATGAGCTCACCATTTAATATACAAACTAGTATGTCTGAATCTCCTGCTAATGAAAGTATTTTATGAATGCTGTCCTTAAGAATGAGTAACAGCACCGTGTTCAGTTTGGTTGTTGCTCACGATGTGTAATAGTTTCTCTTCAGCCATAAGCCACGCCTGGTATATGTTAATTGAGTGGAGTGATCTTGCAACTCTTCCAGTTACGCATTTGTGGTTTGTCATCTGATTAGGAGCTCTTGGAAGATCACTGTTTTGTGTTCTACAACCCAGTTGAAAGGACTATGTGGCGCTAAGTTTTACCAATCAGGTATTTAAAAAATATATTAATCTTATTTGTTTGTTGTTTTATTTTTCTATCCTTTGCTCACTTTTCCTTGCAGATGCTTGCTCTTTTAGAGACTGTCATCTCTGTATCTTTACATCCAGGAAGAATGAACATATTTTAAACTATACTTTTCACTATGTAGTATATTTTATTGTGAGAGATCTCTTCTTGTGATAAAGAAGAATTTGTTATTCTCTAGTAGAGGAGAGTGAGAAATCTCTTCTAGTGATAAGGAAAAATTTGTTATTCTCTAGTAGAAGAGAATGAGAGATTTCTTCTAGTGATAAGGAAAAAATTGTTATTTTCTAGTAGAGGAGAATAAAAATAGAGTTAGAAAATGAGTATTTGATAATTTTGCTACTTGTTTTGCTGGCTCATGTACTTTTCTGTTTCTAATGTTAATAAATTTAGAAATAAGTAATGAAGTTACTCTCATATACTTAGTGAAATTTGTGTTCTGTTTTTATTCTTGAATAGAATTGAAACATTAAAAGAAAGAAAGGTACATAAAATTAATAATATCGAACATGTTGCGAGACAGAGCACTTGTCATTTCTTTTACCATTGACAAGACTAAAAAATTAACATTGTCTTAAATGTTTCTCTTTTCAGCTGTGTAGATAGCTTACCATTTGTATTTGAGATTCCTTTAATAAAATGACTCTTAGTAAATTAAATAGCATGCTTTATTCTCTCTGACTTTATTCATTTTAATGATACCGATCTGTCTTTTGATTTTTAAATTAAAAGATAAATAAATGACACTTTTTTAGTGACCTAGGCACTATTTCTGTTTTAAAATTCATACACAAGTTAGAAAGTGTCTGATTTAAACCATTGGGTGGTATTGCATTTGGGTTCTTGTTTTTGTTTTTTCCTGCTACTCCAATATTTGCAGGATCTAGGGATGAGAAAATGGGGGTATTCCTTTAAAATTAAGTATTCCTTAATCTCTTTTTTTGTTTGTTTCAGTAGCTTTATAGCTTTGAAGAACATTGGCAAGGCATCCAAAGGATGGTACACTGAGGCTTTTCAATTGGTGATGAATTATTCTTAGAATGAGGTAGACTGGGATATAGGCTGAAAATCTGGGAGTCACCCTTGACACTTTCCTCTGTAACACCTAATATCTAATCAACCAAAAAGACACACTGGTTTGAGTCTAACAGTTGATTCTTTCTGCAAACCTAATTTTGGCTTTTGTCTCTTCTTAGCCTAACTTATCTCTGTCTTTAATTTTATCCTTCACACCAGAGCTTCAATAATTTATTCATAGTACACATTTTGTCTTGTTAATCCCCTGCATCAATAGCTTTCCATTGCCAAAGAATTCAGTCTTAGCATTCTAACATGGCATCTTTATGTCCTTCATGATACAGGCCCGTGTTTCTTACCACTTTCTCTTCACAGAAAGCTTTATGATTTGTGATGGGAGGTTGTAATACCTCCCACAATTTCTACTCTTGTATACCTCTTGCTCTTCCTTCTGTTTGCAGTATTGTTGTCACTTGTTACTGCTTGGATAAATTTTACTAACTTTCTAAGACTGATCTCAGGTTTCACCTCTTAGAGGAAGTCTTACTAGAATCCTCATTAAACTAGTCCCATCTTCTGTGCCCTTACTAACCTTTTGTCCGCAAATCTGGAACTTACCACATTAAAACTTTTTTCTGATTCTTTTTCGTCTTTGACTGTTCCTTTAAGCAAAGACCATGTCTTCTTCATTGTATCTGCAGTGTCTGGAAGTGATGGGTATATAGTGGAGGCTCAGTGAATATTTGTTGAACTAAGTACCTTCTACTCATTGTGGTAACGTTGAAGTGTTAGTGAAACACATGGGTCAGTGGTTCCTAGAAACCAGTCAGCTGTTACCAGACTCTTGCAGAGCATTTTATATTTTATTGTTTTTTGAGCTTTATGAAGAATCACGATTCAGTAGATGTAGAATGGGGTCTGGGGACATGTATTTTTCAAAAGCTCTCAAGGTATTTTCGGTTTTCTTACAGGCTAGAGAACCATTGTCCTAGTTTATTATTATACCATTATATTTTATGTAAAAGGTGCCCCCTAGACCTTATACAGCAATTTATTATTTAAGCCTTGGAAGTTATATCTACCAAAGTATGGATGTATTTTAAGTCACTGTTTTGGTACCCTGTATATATAAGTATCTTAACTTTTTAAGTGTCTCATTGAGAGATCCGTTGGCATATTGTTAACTCTCAGCTAAAAACAGCTTTATTTAAACAGGAGTCTTCTTGAATTGATCATAATGAGATTTGTTGGGCTTCATTCTATGAATTTTAATATTTTTCACGATTTGTAATTACTTTTCACTTTTTATTCTAATTTTTCCAAATACTTTAAAATGTCGTATTGTAGTTTAAAGTCCACAAATCGGAAGTATATAGCTCAGTAAATGTTTACATATGTATATACCCATAAAGTACCACTGGGGTCAAAATATGGAACATTTTCCAACCCCTCAAAGGTTCTCTCATGTTCCTTTTCAGTTAATATATACCCCCGTCACTACAAGATAACCACTATTTTGACTGGTGTGATTAAAGCTGCTAAAAATTTTTGTACCTAATCTTTTAGTGGACTGGGTTAAGGACAAACTTGTGTTTTAAATTCAGTAGATGATTCCAGTTTATACCCGTGATAGCAATTCATAATGAAACACTGAAATTATTTGAAACTTATGATAAAATTTGAATATCTTGAAACTTCTCTGTTTTCCCAAATATTTACTGTAAAAATATATATACAAAGAAATATCAATAAACATATCAGCTATATGAAGAAAATATCAAATATGCAAAGAAAACTTAATGTCATTTTATAAGAGTTGCCAGAAATACAGTTTTTAGTCAGATATTTCTATGTAAGTAATTGTTTTCTTTGTTCCTTCTCCTTAGGATCATCCTTTCTTGTGGGTTAGCAGGCAGTTGTAAGATTGCAAAATGGGTCTCCGGATTCACTTTGTTGTTGACCCACATGGTTGGTGCTGCATGGGTTTGATTGTCTTTGTTTGGTTGTACAATATTGTTATAATTCCCAAAATTGTCCTCTTTCCTCACTATGAAGAAGGACATATTCCAGGCGTATTAATAATAAGTAAGTTTCTAGATCTTTATTTTCTTGTATAATTATTTTTCTCATTGTAAATGTTTTTGGAGTGTAGTGCCACTATGATAACCATCCTTTTAATATATTTAATATTTTAGCAGTGCTGTCAGTATTCAGTTATTTACAAATTTATGGACTTAAAAAAATAATGGCCTTTATAGATTTGTAATTAGATAAAAGTGATATCTCCATATTTAACTGGAAAGTATGTAAAGACCATTTTGTTAAAAATAGAAAACTGACACAGTAATGATAACTTATATGTCTATGTGTATTTTTAATATTGCAGTTTTGTACTTAATTACAAATGTTGACTTTTTAAAAATAGAGAATAGTATACATTACTGAGAAGTGAGAATTTCATGATAAGGAAAATATTGATGATGAAGTCTGTTATGATAACACTTTGAACTCTGGATGGTTATTAGCCAATTGGTGATGGCTTGCTTATGATTAAAATAATCAAATTGAAATTATATATTTTGCATGTACATGGCAGTTACAATTTTCATGTACATTACCTCATTTTGACCTCACACGAACTGTGGGAAATTCAGTCTGTTATACAAATGATAAAACTTACCAGTACTATGCAGTCAGTCCTGGATTGAGCACTCAGACTGTTTCCTTTTACATGTACAGTGTATTGCTTTTTATCCCCCCAGCAGAATTCCTCTATTCCTATTATTTAAAAATGTGGGATTATGGTGGCCATGTCTATTTTCCCTTATTATTTTTGCTATTAATTTTAAAATTTAAAAGTTTCTAAGTCTTCATTATCAAATTAATTATTTGAAGATCCATCAAAAGAAACAGATGAACAACACTAATTCAGAGTAATATTGAAGATAACCAATTAGTTAATGAAGAAGTTTAATTGTAGAATTTAAAATGGTGTTTTGATCCTTTCAAATATAGAACATGTAGTAATTAAAAGTGAGCCTACATAAGTCTGTGTTATTAAAGAATCTGATTTATAAAAAGTTTATGTTATCATGCAAAATAATAATTAAAATTAGTAATAATAATTAAAATTAGGACTATTTAAGATAGTCCTCTTGGCAGTATTATTTGGTGAGTGAAATCAATTAATTTATTTTTTAATCTTTAGAAAATGAATTCTCCTGATAGTGTTTATTAAAATATACATTTTAAACTTTAAATATGATTGTTGATAAAATGTTTTGAAGGGTAAGTGAACTAATTTATTTAATTAATTTATTTTAAAGTATTCTATGGCATTGCCATATTCTGTCTGGTTGCCTTAGTGAGGGCCTCAATAACTGATCCAGGAAGACTCCCTGAGAACCCCAAGATCCCACATGGAGGTATGGTACTCTGCATTTATCAGTTTTGCTGATTCCAGAATTATTGTCTTTATTTACATATTTTATTGCTTTTAATATACATTGGTTATATATGTCATCTAACACCACTTTATTTGCTTGTATGTGTCTTTTCCAAACTTCTCTACTTAAAATTGCAACCCTGTTCCCCCTGTACCCCTGTGGTTATACCACATCCATCTTTTGGCTTTCTTTTCAGTTTACTTGTTTATTTGTTTGTCTTCCTCCTCCCATTCTAGATCTCCATAAGCTCTGTGAGAGTGTAGTTTTTTTTGTTTTTGTTTTCTTCATTTACTCACTGTTATAGCCCTCGTGTCCAGAGAGCCTCTGTCATTTAAGATGTTCAGTACATATTTGTTGATTGATAAATGATTATCTGAGAAGTTATATTTTAATTTTATAAAGGAATTTTCTTGATGGTGACACTTATGTCATATTATAAACACAATATTGCTTAGAATAGATATTTGTAGTATTAAGGATACTATTGTCTGTATTCTTCCAAGTTCTAACAATTAATGAAAAAATTGGCAAGGATTCTAGTTTCAGTTGAAGGTGATTTTTGATTACTCTTGCATAATAACTATTCAGATGTAAAAAATGAATTAAAAATGTATTGCTTGTTGTATTACTTACTGGGTATATATAGTACAGCCTTATTTATCTTCATTCCTGAGGCTCACTTTTTGATTGTTTGCTATATAAGCTTTGAGAACTCTCTGAACTTTCTTTTAGTAAGAAATGTGTACGTCTGTGTAGTACATTAAAGAACCAAAATACTTTTTATAGTAAGTTAGTAGCTTCCAACTTGCTGCATATTAGAACTACCTGGGGAACTTCAAAAAACCTAAGTGTCCAGGTCATACCCCATTTAGTTAAATTTAGAATATCTGGGGCATAAGAACCAAGTATCAATATTTTTGAAAGATCTCAGGTGATTCTAATGTGTAGCAAAGTTTGGGAACCAGTGAAGTAATTTCTTATGAAATTAGATTAAGTGACAGGTTACTTATGAAGCCTTCTCTGAATTCTGATAGTTGCTTTTTGAGACCCATCATTTAGAGGCTTAGCTGGCTTTGAAAATTCAGAGATTAAATGGGAATATTACACTGATGTTTATATTGCTGTAGAAGTTTTTGAACACTACATTAAATATTAGTTTTTATTAATGTATAGCGTCAGTAGGACTGTCATTAGAAGTTGGTGTATGTATATGTGTTTTGCAGTGGGACAGGTGGGGAGGGTGGCACTCTGCAATCTGTATAGAATCACTTTTCTTCCCACCTGGCTTAGCCAAAACCTCTCTAAAATATTGTATACATGTGTTATCTACTTCAATTTTAAAATCCAGTGGCCCATGAAAATCAAAGAAACGGGTATTTTCTAACTTGAAGACCCGTTTCTGATGAACTCTTTAGTTTGCAGTGGTGAAAGAATGAAATGCCTACATGTTCCAGACACTGAAAATCAATGAGAGGGGCCAGGTAGGAAGTATTTCATATTAAAAATTTCATACCTTATCTGAAAGTAGTAGTCTCTACTCAGGTATAGCAGAATTATCATGCAGCTAGATTATTAGCTCTTAAAATCGTAAAGAGAACAGAGGGAGTCCCAATTTTTATGAAAAAATTTGTGATAAAAACAAAGATCCTAGAAACTAATTTAAAATATTAAGAATATTGTATGTACCACAAAAATTATATCTTTAGACCTAATTGAGTCCACATGTAACAACAATGTTGTCTTTAATGTCTAGACTGTAGTGATATACGACACCCTGGCATCTTGCTGTTTGGATATCTGCATTATATCTTGTTTCAGTTGACATGTGACCTGTTTTTCTTCCCTGAGTCCAAAAAACTTCCCATTCACTCCATTGACAAAAATACACTTACTTATCATATTTTACTGTTTCTCCAAAATCTTCAGATATCACATATTACATGATCCTTGTGATAATTGTATGAGGTAGGTAGTCAGGAGAACAGATTGTCCTTCCTGGATTAAACAGCTGGTTGTTGATGTGAGACCCAGCCCAGAGACTTAGAACCTTGTTTCCATCATCTTGTTACCATGGATCTATATACCGATTGATAATTTTAGCTTTTTATTTTGAATCTAGGGAAAATTTAAGTCATTATGTACTTTTTGTGCTGGTTACCTGATTCTTTTGTAAATATGATTTTAATTTAGTAAAAAAAAAAATACAAAATTTTAACACTGAAAAATAATATTAAATGCCTAGAGAGTTGAAACTATAGAATAGTGACATTTATTTAGGAATATTTGAAGGTTGAACAATTTCATTTAATTCTTCAGAAAAGGAAACTTAAAGCCCTAATACTTTGGTGATTTTAACTGTTTTTTAAATTGAATTACTCTGAAATATTTTCCATGCTTTTCTGCTTTTTTAAAACAATGATTTTAATATACATGTGACCCCTAAATATATGAGGCAATTTGAATATAAGGAAATGTTCCATTTTCCCATGAAAAGATTCCCAGAATTTGACTTTATAAGCTTTCAAGCATGTAGATGAAACCGTCAAATGAAATATCACAACTTTGTTTATATTATTTAAATTACTCACATGTGTATTTGAAATTAAAAAACATAAAATATAAGCACCTCGAGTTAGAAATATTTTTATCACTTTCATATTTTGTGAAATTTCATTCAGGCTCTTAACTATGTTTAAAAATGTTTTATTGAGTATAATTTACATTCCATATAATTTACCCAGTTAGAGTGTACAATTCTGTGCGTTTTAGTATACCCACAGTTGTGTAACCATCACTGTAATCAACTTTAGAACATTTTAATCAAGGTTTTCACTTGCATGTTCAACGTCAGTGTTTTTGTCATTACTAGAGCCATTTTTTTGTCATAGCGTTCCAGAGGAAATTCTTTGAAGTTGAAAAAAATGCATCATGTTTTGATGCAGTCTCTTGGAAAATTTACCCCAAGCTATAAGGATGCCTGTACTCAGTGATCAGGGTCATGTATTCATGCATAGTTTTGGTTTTATCCTCCCTCTTATATTGCTTTTTAAATGTGATCTTTGAGAGACTTATTGACACTTATTTCCTACATTGACAACTGATTCTTGTCAGGGAATCTCTGTTATGACTCAAACTTTATGTTGATTTAGGTAATTTTTTTTTCTCCTCAAAGCATTACTTTGGATTTTAAATAGATTAATTGGGAGAAGACCCCTTAAAATGTGAATCTTTTAAAAGACTCAAGTAGAGTGTGATTCCTTCCTTTCTGAGGGTTAAGCAAAACCAAACTAAGCATTGCATTATATTCATTCGACCATTTACAGCATTAATAAATATCCAGGGTAAACAAAATGATGCTGCTTACTCACTTTTTTTCATTATGCTTTATATTTTGATTTCTCTGTCCCTTAAAAATGTATCTGTTAGCTGTTAATATTTCTACAGCTATCATAAATTTTCAGTTGAATTCTTTTTCTCATAGGCTTTTATTTTATATCATTACATGAATAGCACAAAAATCATCAGATATCAGAATGTATCAATCACCAAGATCCTGTGTGAGCATGAGTAAAGGGAGGAAAGGGAAATGACCAAGAAAGACTTTAGAGATATGTAGGTTATGTTAAAATGGCTGGTTTTTTTTTTCTTGCTACATAAGGCAAAAACACCTTCTAGATGATCAATTAAATTCCTAGATTTTTTTACAATAGTGATTTCTCTTTTGTTCCTTAAACATATAGGGATGTACGTATTCGTATAGGTTTGTGAAACTGAGTTTTTACAGGTATTTCTCAATTTAGATACTTACATGGTATCTTCATGTTATCAAAGGAATGACTGAAGTTCTTTCTTTAAATTAGTTTATGGTCCAGACCATAGATTAGCAAATTAGCAAATAAATTCTTCTTAAGACCTGTAGTAAATATTTTCAGCTTTATGGGCCGTATAGTCTCTGTCACAACTACTCTGCTCTGCCATTGAAACACAAAAGCAGCCGTAGATGATATGTAAGTGATGGGCACATTAAACTTTGTTTATGGACACAGAAATTTGAAATTCATATGATTTTTACATGTCACACATTATTTTCAATAATTTAAAATTGTAAAAATTATTCTTAGCTCATAATGGTTCATACAGAAACAGGGGGTAGACTGGATTTGCCTGCAGACTGTAGTTTTTATCTGTGGTCTAGATTGCAAAATTAGAGGCTTTCTCTGACTATAACCAAGTGCTCTCTTTTCTGAGGATACATTTTAGATATAAAGTGAAGAATTTATTCTGTACGATATTATATGTTGATTTCTCAGAAATTACCAATAATGAACATACCATGTTTATGTTTTGAGGGGGCTGATAAAAACAAAGTTTGCATACTGCCTTTTAATGAAAATTGGCTCATTGTGGAGAGCCTCCTTTATGTCTATATTCCTTGCAGTGTGTAAATTCAAAGTTTTAACACTGGAATGTTTGGGAGCATTGAGTAAGTGGGGGAGTGGGATATGATATGTTTGTGACATTGTAATATGCTACATATTAAGTAAGTTTTGATTACACTTGCAGGTAAATAATACTAGTTTAACTGTATGTAAATTAAGCTTTAATATGGTTGCTCTCACATTTATTTTCATTAAAATAAATGAAAAAGGATTTTCTTTTACAACGAGATTTCAAGTGTAAGAAAGAATTTCTCAGTTTTCATATTATTGGAACAATTAATTTGATATAGGTTTTATTCATATTTTGTTTCTTCAGAGATATCCATAGTGGGAGTATTTTCCCAACGCTTCACTGTGTGAAAGTCCAACATGTTGATGTTGTTCCTGACCATTAAACTAAAATAATGGAGTTCAAATAGAGAATCTTTTTAGAAAATTGAATACCATCTACTATTATCTTTTATTTTATTTAGACTCTTTCATTTTTTGATTTTTAGACGTTTCATACATCGGCAAGCATTTAGTGACTACCTACTGTGTGCTAGGGTCCCATTCTTCATATGCTAATACTTACTCTGAATGTAGGAGTTAGGTTAATCTTATTATGGCCATACTTTTAATGAGGTTATGGGATAGTATCAACACAGAAGATGAAAATTAAAAGAATTTTGTAAAAGTAAAATTCCTTTCCAACATGTTTAAAAGATACATTTTTGTATAATAAGGCAATTGTCTTTTCTAGATTGCTGAGTCTTCCATAGTTTTCATGGATCTGATTAGGACAATTTTTAATGGAAACAAAAGCCTTTTCTCTTATGTAAACTTTGTGCTTTTAGCACGTAACTCAATTGTGTGCTCTTTCACCACAGATTAGTGGGAATTGCTACTTGGTGGTAGTTGGGTGTTTTGTAAAGAACCTCCTTTATTTTCATTAAAAATAGTAGTCATCTTACAACATTTTTTCTGACAACCTCCCAAACCCATATGATATCCTTATCTAACCTGTCCCATACATATTCTTAAATGAATTACTGATATTTTAAAAAATTAAATGATTTAAGGAAAGTGTATGTGGAGGGGTGTGCTATCTCTGTTTTTCAAATGAGTTTATAGGATTGATTTCAGCTTACTAATCAACTGAAACCAGGGTCAGCATTATTTCTTCTTTAGAGCCTTTAAAAATAAAATTTATAGAAATCAATTTGTTTAAATAAAATTGTTTTAGTATAATAATTTGGTTGGGCTTCAGGGTTTTGTCATTGGATTTTATTTACATTCTCACAGTATACCCAGAATACAAACACATTATTAATAGTGTTTTATTTTTATAGTCTTTTAAATTAGGAACATACAAAATAAGACATATATAGAATAGAACAGCAACATTTATGGCAAACACGTTTACACTGAAGGCTTAGAATAAGAAAAATCTCTTAGATTCCCATAAAATCTTCTAAACAATTGTTGCTAAATGTCTGCATTACCTACTTGCCTTCATTAAATGGATTTTAATTTTCTTCTCTAGAAAGGGAGTTCTGGGAATTATGTAACAAGTGTAATTTGATGAGACCAAAGCGTTCCCATCACTGCAGCCGCTGCGGCCACTGTGTGAGGAGAATGGATCATCACTGTCCGTGGTAAGAATAATTCACTTCTAGCAAAAAAAAAAAAGCGAGATTGGTAATTTAAATCTTATGACTTTAACAACTTTGAACAAAAGGAATGATAAAGTTATACAGGTTTACAGTATCTTAATAAGGATATCTTTATTTAAATTATATGGTTTTATCAACTCCCAAAGTAATTTTTCCATAGAAATCCTATTTTTTGTAGCAGAGAGATTTTTAACAAAAAAACTAAGAATTAACATGCTACCTAATATGCAAAAGGATTAAGGTGATTGTTTTAAATGAGACGATATATATAAAACATTTAGTGCAATATCTGACACGTAAGAAGTACTTAAATGGTAACTATTTCTAATTGTAATAAACCATGTACATCCAAATGTTTGTATCTCCTTTTCATTTGTTTAATTAATAACACATATCAGATAACTTGATAACTTCCTCCTTACCCCTTAAAGCTTTTTAAGCATTATGTATTGGATACAGCTACTGTCATTATGTACATGTTGGAAGTATGTGAGTGGTAATTAACTGATTCTGCAGAACTGCCTAGAGTTTTGGTCAATAGGGGGCTCTCTTGTAATATTTAAAGAAAATGCTCAGTTGAGAAATAGAATTTTTGAAAACAAATGCCATGTGAATTCTGTATTGTATCTCATTTTAAAGCTGTCACAAAAATCTGTGAACAAGATATTGTATTTAATTCTGTTTTCTTAGCATTGGCTCTCTGTATAAATATTTAAACTGGTATAATGTAGAATTTTACAAATATATCTGTACACATATATGTAGTATTTATATTTGTATACACATACATGCATATATGCAAATTTAACTACATAGTGGGCCTCTTAATTTATAATTGCATTTATTTAAAATTAACTCAAGTAGAATTTAGCTTTTTCTAATGTTAGTTAATTTAGAGTTTTCCTTATTTTTGGTAACTTATTTTGATACCACTAATTAATCAGCAAACTTTGAGTGGAAATTAGTTTTTTTGCATAGAGTGATTATTTAAATAGAAGATAATTTCCTGAAATAGGAAAAAATAGAGCATTTTAGATAAAAGCACTTTGTAACTACATAAAAATTAAAAAATTTTCTAAATCTGTCAACAAGATGGAATAGTATATGACGTGTAGTTGATACTCAGAAATGTGCCTTGAATCTAAACATATTCCCAAGTAATTTTCTAAAGCTCAGTGATCTGATATTTGCTATCACAATGAATGGATTTAAGAAAAGTTAGGTGAAACATGCTTTTGGATAATTCCTAATCATACAGAAAAGTTCAGTTTTTAAGCACTTTTTATAGTAGTGTTTCTTACTAACTAAAATATAAATGTTTATGATACAAGTGGATATTGATGCTTTTTTCCCAAAAGAATGCAGTAGTTTAAGATTAAAAAAATAATCAACTAGGAAAAACTCACTTATTGGTGACCAAATATGGTGCTGTTTAACCTTAATTCTAACCTTGGGATGATTTCTGTTTCTAGGCCTCTTGCTTCCATAGTTTTAGTCAAGTTTTCAGAAGTTGGTAGCAGTGAGGGGGAAGTAGAAAGGACTGCAGGATCAGAAAGGAGGGTAGACAAGGGACCTAAAGAGATTCAGGAATATTTATGATTGAATTTCCTGATAGAGCACTGCTGAAATGTTCAGAGAGAGGGGAAATGTACAGTGAAAATTGGAAGCAAGGAAAATTTTTGATGTTTTCAGAAATTGCATTACTTAACTGCCTGACACAGTTTTAGGTTTGGAGATCAATTTTCACATTGCCTTAAGGTTTTCTGGAGTCTCACTCTGTTGCTGCCCAGGCTGAAGTGCAGTGGTGCAATCTCAACCTCTGCTGCACTGCAACCTCTGCCTCCTGGCCTCTGGTTTTCCTGCCTTAGCCTTCCAAGTAGCTGAGATTACAGGCACATGCACCATGCCCGGCTAATTTTTGTATTTTTAGTAGAGATGGGGTTCCACCATGTTGGTTGTGCTGGTCTTGAACTCTCAAACTCAGGTGATCCGCCCCCCTCAACCTCAAAGTGCTGGGATTACAGGCATGAGCCACTGCATCTAGCCTGATCATTCTAAGTAGTTTAAATGTTACAAAAAGAACTCATATTGATTGAGGACCTTAATGCTTGCTAAAGCTGTTCTGATTAAGAAGAATGCTGTGATCACAGACATTTTTTCTCAAACTTCCTGGGGACAGGAAGGATGGAATAAGGATAAGTCATCTTTCAATCAACAGGTATTGAAGAGCATTTCTGAGTGTATATTAATACATAAGCACACTTCTTTTATAGTCTTGCTTGCAAATAACAAAGTGCAGTAGATTTTCGTTTACAAAGCATGCACTCCTAAGTCTAAGAAATGCCTCTCTGAGGTTTTTCAGTTCAGTTCTGTATTTAACTTTAAAAATGGTTTAATGACAAGTTAAAAAGAACAACTTAAATTAGGACTGAAACATGTTACATCATTCCTTTTTCAGTGACAGTATAATACTATTTTGAAGTGAAAACATTTGTGCAAAGTAATTTATAGTTTTGATCAAGGGTTTTTTTTTGCTGGAATTTTAGGATACTTTGACAATTTGGATACAATAAATTTGGAGTAATAAAATATTCAGCTTTAAATAGCCGTGAAAATTTTTGATTATAACATTAATCATCTTTCCTAGTTCGGGTTCACTGTTATATTGCTGGAAGTATAACTCTATGTATCTGTAAATAGTTTTGAATATATTTTTATTTTCAGCAACCAGGGATAGATTTTTAAAATGAAAAAAGAAAAAGGTGAATGCTTAGCAGTTATGCCAGAGTGGCAAGTTTCAGCTGTTTTGCTTCAGTTCATTCAGCTTGCTTTCCACAGCTAGAATGCCGTAAAGGAAGAGCAATATACAGGGAAGCAGGATTCTTGCTCTCCTGGCCCCTGTCTCTTCTTACTATACATCCTCTGACTAGAGGCTTAACCCCTTTGTTCCTGTTTCCATGTCAGTGACACAGGAGGCTACTGTATGCTCTTCCTGTCTCGCTGAGTTATGAGTTGAAGGAGGATAACATGTGGACATCCTTTGTGAAGTGCTTTACGTATATAAAATGGTGTATTTATACTTTGCATAGTTTGTTTTGACCTTTGAGTGGCCTTAGCATATCTTCATGAAGTTAAGCATATGTGATATTATTTGTTTTTATTTTAGTCTTACTGATCCTGCGGCAAACTTATTGAAATTTAAAATAGTTTCTTTTTCATTTTTTTTTCTTTAGGATTAACAATTGTGTTGGTGAAGATAATCATTGGCTCTTTCTGCAGTTGTGTTTCTACACTGAACTTCTTACTTGCTACGCACTGATGTTTTCTTTCTGCCACTATTACTATTTTCTCCCACTAAAAAAGCGTAATTTGGTAAGAAATGTTTATATCCACTAACAGAGCACTAATATTAGCATACAGTTATTAATATGTGGTTCTTTTAAGTACAAAAGATTGGAAACAAAACAACAAAACCCTCAAATTGGTGACTTTTGAATTATATTGGGAGTGAGAAAGTGGTCCCTAGTCTGAAATGTCCTTTTAATGAAATTCATTTATGATTATTTATTAGTGTTGAGTGGCTTTCTTTAGAAAGCAACACATTGGATCTTTTAATATATGTGTCTTGGTTTAAAAATATCTAAAATAATTAAAAACAAAGATGAAATATTCTTTTTTCAGGAATAAAAATGTAGGATTTAATTTTAAAAGCTAACCAAATAGTTATGTTCTTAAGAAAGAGAACTTTTTTTCTCCCTGACTTTCAACAGTAATGATAAGATGAATTTGCAGGATGCTTTAAAAGTTATCCATATATATACCATTTGAGGCAGTACCTTCCCACTTGTAGAGGAACTGCAATAGCTGTTATGACTTGCACAAAATAGTGGTGATGATGATGATAGCAGCAGTTAGAATTTTTAATTCATTGTCAATATTGTGCTATGGATATCTCATTTTAATTCTCACTTTAGTTCCATCCATATATATATCTAGTGCCCAATATATAAGGTAAGACTAATACATAAGGTATTGAAGGCATAAAGCTAGGAAGTGATTATTCAACTGGATTTAGTTATAGAGCTGGGATTTGAATTGGATCTTGTATGGTTTTTGACTGTCATTTTTTCTATTTTATTTGGACTTGGATTGTTTTTTTTTTTTTAAAAAAAAACTGTGTGTGGGAGGGGGATGCAGACAGACAGACAAAGTGTGCAAGTACTCATGAGGATGCAAGGTAAGGAGAAAAAGAGGAAAGAAAGAATAAAACCCTTGATGGTGAAGCAAATTTTTCTTTCCTGTTTATACAAGTTTATACTTTTTAAATCTTTTATATTATAAAAAATAAATTTATTGGAGGTACATACAATTAAATTTTGGAATAAAGGAGAGAGGGAGAAAATGACTAAGGTATTTGGATCTTTTTAGTATACCTGATCATTTGCTATCACTGCTTGGGTGTATATATTAGGGGGGCCTTATGGTGAATATGCTCATTATATTTAGCTTGAGCAATTAAAATTAGAGACTAATAACTGCAAAAAGTTCAAAGAGGGGAATTTTAAATTGAGATGTTTGACATTTCACACTGAGAATATAATGCATGCTAGTGTTATAGTTGTAGAAATGTTTCATCTTATTTATAGATAAACTTCTGATATAATTGGCATTAAAGTTAGATCATGTAAAAGAATATACATATTCTCTAGAGTAATCTATTTCAAATAATTGAGCCTAATAAGAAAAGCATTAAAATAAAATTTCTCAGTAGAATTAAGGTAATTTTTTTTAAGTGGCAGAGAAGGAGAATTTAGTGGTGTAAATGAAAAACTAATAGAGGCTGTCTGAGAGGTAATAAATGCATTGCGGTATCATGCAGATTGGCAAACTGTGGACCTTGGTTTAAATTCAGCCGTCTGCCTGTTTTTTTACTGGAAAACAGCTACTCTCTTTTGTGTATATATTGTCTATAGCTACTTTTGTTCTATAATAGCAGAATTGAATAGTTGTGGCAGAGACTATGGTCTTTAAAGCCTAAAATATTAACTGCCTGGCTCCTTACAGTAACTTTGCCAGCCTCATGTAGTGGAAAAATTTTGTCTTTGTAAACAGACATACATACCTATTAAAAGCCTGCTTTTTCTTATTAAATGTATCAGCTTTGACACATTGTTTAAACTCTCTGATTTATAATTTTCTTCTTCTGAAAATGTGAATAATAATATTAAATGAGATAATATATGTCAACTTACCTGGCATATAATAGACATTCAATTTATTCTACATTTGATTTTAGTGAAAGCTCTCAGAGGGAGGAAACAATTTTTCTTTGGCTTATTAATTTTTGTGAAAATTTTAGAGACCATTTTACAGTAACCATTTATTACTAGAAGACTGATGACCAACTAAGGAAATTCTGGTAATCAAATGAAGGATTAAGGTGTTTGAAATTACAACTAATTTTATTCCCCAAATGAAAGGTAGAAACTGGAGAAATAAATCGCAGTCACCTTTTTTAAAACTGGGAAATGGAGAAATGGATTATCAAATATAGGTTATATTTGAATATATATACTATATATATATATATATGTAAAACGTGCATAACAAATGTTGGAAAAAGATCAGTGTAGTAAATGTTTATTAAGAGATTAAAAATATCGAGAAGAAAGTATATAAAAAGTGAGTATGAAAAGTGGGTTTTGAAAAGTCAAACCAGATTTTCCTTAGAGCAACCAATTGTAGATATAATGCAGGTGATTTTTAAAATAAAAATCATAATAATGTGTTAGTAGCATTTTACCAAATGAGAATCAAATGATTATGTTGGTTGTAAGAAAGCTAGGAATAAAGCAGTTCTAGGAATCTGACAAAGTTATTTATGTCTAGTAGTGCTGAGCAGAAATTGTTCTCTTAGCCCAAGTCTTATAAGTTTCCTTGTATCAAGTGAGGTACTTTCATAAGTACCACCATATTAGCAGTAATGAAATGAAAAATCAGAGGTTATGAAATTTCCAAGATCACTTTGTTTCCTATTGAGGAATCGGGTAATTTTTAGTTTTGTGATATATTATCTCAGTAATTAATATATATTATCAAGTTAGGTGTATGGAGAGAAGAGCTTTACCACAGTATTTCCCATCATAAAAAAAGACAGTTTTGTTAGACAAATTTAAATACATAAAATGGAATGTTTATTAGCAGTGTTCTAACTACTTAATAGAGTAAAGCTAAATACTAGGACCAGAATTATAACTAAACTTGGAGAAAGTATTTTATAATCTATGTAGCTCTAAATATTCCAATGATCTGAAGCAAGTGAATGTTCAGTAGTTACTTAGTATACATTGAAATGAATTCTAGTCATTTAATTGATTTAGAAGTTGAGAACATGAAGCTGTATTAGTGACACATACAAACTTAGTTATATCTTCTTGGTGAATTGACTCTTGTATCATTATAAAATATGCCTCTTTATTCTTAATAATGATTCTTGCCTTAAATTTTATTTTCTGTTATTAGTTTAGCTATATCAGTTATCTTTTAATTAGTGTTTTCATGGTATGTCTTTTTCTGTCTTCAATACTTTCAACCTTTTTTGGTTACTGTGTCTTATATGTGTCTTATAGACAGTGGATACTTCATCATTAAAAACATATTTGTCTTTTAATATGAAATATTTAGTAAATTTTTGACTGGTATTTTGTCATCTTCCTATTTATTTACTATTTGACTTCATCTCTTCTGTGGTCCCATTTTTCTTCATTTCTTGCCTGTTTTGGAATTTCTAATTTAAAAATTTTTCCAATTTTCTATTTTTAATGACTTTTACTTTTACTCTTTTTATAGTTTGCCCCAAAGTGAAAACATTGTTCTCTGATTTTTTTTGAAGTCTAATGTAAGTTAATACTTTACCGTTGTGCACCTAATGAAAGCAGTGGCTTTGGAACACCCTTTATCATCATCATTTTTGGCATTGTGGGGTAGAAAGTAGATGCAGAACAAAATCACATGGTAACAAGACTTTATCATTGTTGCAAATACAGTATGTGTTATATATGTTATGTGTTACTGATAGTCATTATTTATTTTGAGTTATCTACTTAGGTGCTTTTTCTAGTCCTCCTTATGTCTGAGCCTCCTCAAGGCTTATTTTAGAGCAAGTCTGTTGGAACAAATTCTCTCAGTGTTAGTTCCCTGAAGATGTTTTTGTTTCTCCTTCATTTTTGAAGCATTTATGGTTTGTCACAGAATTGTAGATTGGTTGTTACTTTTGTTTAGTTTTTAAAAGACATTATTCCATTGTCTTATGGTTTCCATCATTTCTATTGCAAAATCAGTTGTTGGTCTTACTGTTACTCCAATGAAATGTGTGTTTTTCTTTGGCTGCTTTTATTTTTTATTTTTTTTGGTCTTTATATTTTAGCAGTTATTCTGTGATTCTATGATGTGCTTATTTTCTTTGCATTTTTTTCTGTTGGAGAGTTTATGTAACTTTGAATCTGTGGCCTGATGTCATTCTTAAGTTTTGGAAGTTTCTTGGCCTTTATTACTTCAAATATTACCTCTGCTCAATTTTTTTTCTCCTGCAGTTCTGGGATTCTGCTTACATGTACATGAGTTCTCATTGTGCTGCATATGTTTGGAATTTATTTCTTCACCTTCCTTTTTTATTCCCCCACTCTGCTTCATTCTAGATATTTCCTATCCAGAGGTTTACTCATCAGCTCTTCTGCCATGTCTATTGTACCCTTAAATCCTTCTTAATTCAGTTATATTTTTCACTTTTAGAATTTCCATTTGAGACTTTCTTTCATTGATAATTTCTTTGGTGAAATCATCCATTTTGTCATCTTTTTTTGAACATTTTTTAATACATTATTTTAATGTCTATGTTTGGTAACTTCAATTTTGAGATCCCCTTATGGGTCTGTTTCTGTTGACCTTTTTCCCTGTCAATTTCCAGATATTTGGTCCTGTCTTCTGACATGCTTAAGTTAGAATACTGAGTGTTTTATGTGACGAATTGTAGAAAATGTGTTTGATGTGTTCTTTTCTCGATTTGATTTACTCTTTTTTTTTTTATAAGATATAAAAGAAGGCTTATTTTAATCCAATGAGGGGTTTATATAACAAATATTTCTAATGCTAAATAACAGAACATTGGTCTTAATCCAGAAGTTCTTGGGAAGATGCTGTTTATTGCATTTATTGGTATTTTGAAAGGAATCTTGATTGCTGGGTTTGTCTTTGTGAAAGACTGGTTTCAATGTGCCTTTATTCCAATAGTATAGTCTTTTGGGGTCTCAGCTGAAAAACTGAGGTGTGTATTGTGGAATGTGCCCTACAGTTACTGTTTTCCTGCCCTTGGA